GTAGGCACCCTGAGGGGTGACCTAAGCAATGCACCAAACACCTGCCCCAAGCCTGGATTTCTTATCCCCCACCACCAAGTGCCACAAAGCAGAGGACACTCCCATTGGGAACCCTGACCCAGGCTTCCTGGAGGGGACGTCACAGGAGCCGGCACCAAGCAAAGGAACAGGAGGTTCCCCGAGGGTGTAGGTGGGGAGGGCATCCCCTGCTGAGGAGGCAACCCTAGCCTTGGGCTTGTCTCAGGAGCGGGCTACGGCGAAGGGAGCCCCTCGGCAGGTGGTCTGAGCTGTGGCTAATGGGCAGGAGGACACAGCTTCTCACCGCACGGGGAGTGTCCCCCGTGAGCCACCTGGGACAGGATGGTGGCAGCCTCTTCCCCAGGGTTTCTGAGTGCGAAGCCCCTCCCCTGGTTCAGGATCACGATCCCCCATGCAAGGGCCTGTTCCCAGGTGTGGTCTTTCCCCAGCTCTTTCTGGCCAGCACACTGTGCCTTGGAAGTAAAGCCGAATCTCCCGGCTACACCGAGCGCCTCTCAGCTGGAGCAGGGAGCTTGCCTGGGGGAGAGGAGACCAGGGACACGGAGGCAGGAGGTGGCCGAGGCCCCGGGCTGGCAGTCACGTGGGTGGTCAGATGTCCAAGGCTGCACACAGAGACCCGAGAACTCCGAGGCCCCTAACCCACCTGCAGACGCCCAGCTAACCCACACTCTGAGCTCTGACTTCAGCGGGGCAGTGTTGGGGACCCCTCTTCATGCTGGCACAGACAGAACACCGCTCGGACTGCGTGCTCCAGATAAGTGCCCAGTGCCACCGCTGCTTGCCATGGCTCCGTGTGCCCCTGCGCCCTGCAGAGCTGTGTTGATAGGAAAGGTTGCCTTTTGCCCATGCCCCGTGTTTAGCAGGGAGTCATTCTAAGCGAACGCTTTAAAGGAAGCCCATGCCCGGGGTGTGGCAATATGGAGACGCTGGGGACACAGCGTGCACCGCCTCGGGTGTGGTGCAGGCAGAAGCTGGGTGAGCATGGCTCGGGGGAGGCACAGACTGCCGGGCCCACAGAAGGTCTTGGTTTTGTCCTGGTGCCTCCAATCTCCTGATCTGTGCTCAAGGACCCCCCAGCCGCCCTCGCGACCCCTGGTCTTACCCTGATTTTTGCCTCCCGTGTGGCCATCAACCATGGCTGTCTCCATTTCTGAACCATCCCGCCCCGGACACAAGTCCCCCTCCCACCGGTCCCCTCCCATGGGGGTCTCCCGGCACTTCTTTCTGCTCTGCGAGAATAGGGACTGGGGGCAGTGTGTGAAATGCGTCACTAAAACACAACCCGCCACCATACGGGACCTCCGCGACAAACGCAACTCAATGTGCCTAGGTCACCAAGAGGCAGGGACCCCTGGTGGGGGCCCTTGCAGAGGCCTGGGGAGGGGCTCCGTGTGTGCTTTGCAGAAGTCGGGTCCTTCAATCACCCCCAAGACCCTCCAACACCCTCAACATCAGCAGCCTGCCAACAACCCGAGCTCACGAGGACACGGAGCCCCCCACGTGCTGCTGCCCCCAGGTAGGGGGTTGCAAAGTTCAGCGTCAGAGTGACAGGTGCCATTGTCACCCACCCAGCAGGTGCAGGTCATGGTGGCTGGTGGGCTGCAAGGAGCTGCCTGGGGAGCAGGTGCCAGCCCCACCCCTGCATGAGCAATGGAATCCCAGCATTGAACCCTACCCAGCTTCCTTTGGGTGGCGGCCTTGGCCATTTGTGATCAGCGGTCGTGGCTGCTGAGCCCTGCTAAGCTGTGCGACACGTTTGTCATCCATATGTGTGGCAACATTCAGGCATTGTGTGGTGTCACAGGCAGCAGGGACGTTCATCCCGGACAAAACACCGGTGCATCCCACAGAATGGAGGCTTGACCCCGAATTTCAAAGGCTGACTCTGAGGGGCTGAAGTGCTGGACCCCACGGAGGAGCCGGACCCCAAGAACTTTTCAGAAGCTAACCCCGGGACCGCAGCAGGTGCAGTGCAGGCAGACAGGCACCAGCGTCAGTGGCGGGGCGGGGCCCAGAGGGAGGCGGAGCCAGGCTTGGCTGGCAGGTGGCCAGGCTAGCCCAGGAGGGATGGGGCCTTCCTCCTGGCAGGTGCCTGGCCTGCACCTGCCAGATGTAGCTGCCCACCTGGGGATTGATGGGAAAGCGAATCCCAGGTACCAACCCACCGTCACCTGCCCACCACCTGAAGGTGAGGTGGCCACAGCGCACAGTGCAATAAGCCCAGTGCGAATGGCTGACCCCGGTCTGCTCAGCGATTGGATCCATGGAAGAAAACGGCCCACTCTTTGCAAGGAGCACCAGAAGGGACCCTCCCCTGGAGCAGACCCCCAGGGTCCCGCGCCCGAGGCCGCGGCCTCACCCCAGAGCCCTTCCCAGCCCCAGGCCGTCTCCAGGGCGGCTTCCCCGCAGGGCATGTGTGTCGATTAAGGCAGGGATGTTGAACACCTGTGAAACACCTCGATGCACCTGGCTCCTGACAGACGGCGCCTGCTGGACCCAAGGATGGGGCGCTCTCTCTAAATGCTGGCAATGTTACAAAAAAAAATTAGATGGGGCAGGTGCTGTGGCATAGCAGGTAAAGCCGCCGCTGCAGTGCCGGCATCCCATATGGGCACCGGTTCAAGTCCTGGCTGCTCCACTTCCAATCCAGCTCTGATGGAAGAAGCTCCCAGCTCCTGGCTTCGGATCGGCCCAGCTCCAGCCGATGCGGCCATTTGGGGAGCGAGCCAGCAGACGGAAGACCTCTCTCTGACTAATACATCACTCTTTTTATATAGGAATTTGTGCCAGCCTGCGGTGTGCCCAGGAAGCAGGGTGGCCTCCTTGGCAGGGAGTGGAGCGCGGTTTCACCTTCCCGCCTCTGCAGTCACTGGGGTGGGGCTGGGGGGGACGAGGGGTCTGCCCCAGGAGGGCCAGGTGAACACGCGCTCTGGCAGGGCCTGGGACCCTCCCTCGGGGTCTCATCGTTGAGGAGGCGACTTGTGTCTCGGGAGCGGGGACCAGGGCGTGCGTGGTCGCCCGTGGTCTTCCCAGCCAGCGTTCCCGGAGACTCTGGCTGAACAGCAGGGGTGCGGCACCTGCTCGCCGCCCTCCAGGAGGCCCCTGGCTGCCCTCAGGTGTGGGAGAAGGAGGGACTCTTGGTGGGGTGGCCACACCTGCTGCCAGCGTCCCTGGGGGTGGGGGGCCGGGTAGGTGCACTGCCTTGGTCTTTGCAGGCCTGGGAGAGTTGCATGTCCCAGCCTGGGCTTCCGTGAGTCTGTGCGGTGGGGGGGAGGGGACTTTTTTTTTTTTTTTTTTTTTTACTTTGGAAAGAATCCCAAATGCAAACAGCCTCATGGAAGGAAAGCAGCGTTTCCCGCCACCAGGAACTCTGCAGGGGTTCAATGCCGCTGGGGGACATCAGAGACCCCGCTTGGACCCTGCGGGGGGGTAGGGGCCGCCCCAGCCCGACACGTGTGGTCTTCAGAGTTCTGTGTTACTCAGACTTAACCCTCCCAATAGCCCTAGGAGGTAGGTCCCATTACTAACTCCCCATCCCCAGAGGGGGAACCCAGAACCCACCCTGGTCACAGCCGGGACACGGCACCAAGGTCCCCACCGCGGGGGGGGGGCCCCATGCCTGCCTGCTGCAGGTTGAATGAACCCCCTGGCCGCCTGCCTGTAGGAATCTTTTTCCTACACAATGAGTCATTAGTGGAACTTAAAAAACAGGGTGCTAAGAGTCTAATACAACGCAAAAAGCCGGCCGCTCGCCCCCGCCCCCGCAGCCCCCCCCCCCCCAGATGTCCGAGGAGGTGCGGTTTTGTGGGGATTTTTACCAGCACAGGTTGTGTCTCCTGGTTGAGCGGCCGCCAAGTTAAAACAGCCCTGGCAGGTGTGCCGGTCCGGCGAGACCCAACTAGGACGTGGAACCAAAAAAACACCCAGAAACAGGAAACCTAGGGCCTTACCCGCAGAGCCCGGAGGGGCGGCGGGCCGAGGGGCCGAGGGGAGCCCAGGGCGGCCGGGAGCTCCGGCCCCAGGTGGGGAGTGAGCCAGGGAGGAGACTGGCTGGCTTCACGGGCCCCTGGGCGTGGCCTCGGGGCTGAGCCCGTGGAGGGAGCGGTCAGCAGTGGTGGGTGTGGGGCCGAGACACGGGAGCCAGCTGTGCCGCAGACACGCACAAGGGGGTCGGGGGGCGCAGTCTGAACTCACAGGGGAAGGGCACGGCCGGGTTTCAGCAGCTCCTGTCAGGCCCACGTGGGTGCCGGGCCAATTTACGGCAGGCGCCTTTCTGGTGAGCCGGTGCACACCTGGGCTTGCGCCCTCCAGGTGGGGCCGTTTCTCCCCTCCCCTGAGGTCCAGGTGACACCGCTGGGCCTCCCTGAGGCGGGGCAGGTCAGCACGGAGCCGATCCTTAACCCGGAGAACACACCGTGTCCCCGCGACCCAGCGGGAGCTGCCCGTGTGCCAGGACTGCCAACGTGAATCGCCCACTGCGGAGGGTCTGGGTGGTGGCTGGAACGTGGGCAGCCAGGTGCGACACGAGCCCTGTGCGGATACGAGGCCCGGCTGTGGGGCTGCGCGGATGTCTGCGCTCTGCATCCACCCATCAGGTTCAAGGTCCTGCAGGCGGCCAGCTCGGGTTACCCCCACGGTCTGCCCGTGTGTCAGCTGGCACGGCGCCCTCCGCACCACGGCCCTCCTTAGAGCCGACAACTCCCTCACACACACACATGCCAGTGAGAAAGACATTTTATTTCTACCTTAGCTGCTACTGGAAATCTTAGACACAGGAGTGGGCGCCCCCTGGTGGAGGAGGGCGGCGTGGCGCGGGTTCGCCACCCAGCGAGTCCCCGTCCCCTCTGGCGCTCGCTGGCGGCTGCGGTCCCTCTTCAGGCCCGCAAAGCCCCCCGCGTGGCTCCGTAGCAGTGACCCCGCGTTCTTGGGCAGAAGCCGCTATGGCGACAAGGTACAAAAAATAAGCATGCAGCCCTTTATTTCGTTTTGCAAAGTCTCTGCTTACAGTTCTGTATATTACATGACTGTTGTACAAATTCACTTATTTACAAAAACACTCGCGCTGTGCAAACTTGGTGCTTCTAAAAACGTCTGGAGAGGCTCCTCCTGCCCAGGCGCCCGACCCTGCCGAGCATGCATAGAAATTCACTTTGGTGTGGGCTCCTCCGTGCCGGCACCTACAGGACTCGGGTTCTGTCTCTATGGATACAGTCACAGAACGGCATCGCGTACACCACCGCACGCTGCGCATTTCACATCCACAACGCAAGAGCGTGGCTGACTCGGTGTCGGAAAACCAAGGAAGGGGTTAGATGCTGCAGACCATGATGAGAGGATCTGTGTTTAAAAAGGAGGGGGAGGAGGGGGAGGAGGGGGAGGGGAGGAGGGAGAGGGGAGGAGGGAGAGTGGGAGGGGAGGAGGGAGAGGGGGAAGGGAGGAGGAGGGAGGAGGAGGGAGGAGGAGGGGGAGGAGGGGGAGAGGGAGCGGGAGGAGGGAGAGAAGGAGGGGGAAGGGGGAGGAGGAGGGAGAGGACAGGGAGGGGGAGAGGAGGAGGGGAGAAGGGAAAGGGGGAGGAGGGAGAGGAGGAGGAGGGAGAGGACGGGGAGGGGGAGAGGAGGAGGGGAGTGGAGGAGGGGAGGAGGGAAAGGGGGAGGAGGGAGAGGAGGAGGAGGGAGAGGACGGAGAGGGGGAGAGGAGGAGGGGGAGGGGAGTGGAGGAGGGAGAGGACGGGGGAGGGGGAGGAGGAGGAAGAGGGGGAGGGGGAGGAGAGGGAGTGGGGGGAGGGGGAGAAGGGGGAAAGGGAGCGGGAGGAGGAGGGAGGAGGAGGGAGGAGGAGGGGGAGGAGGGGGAGAGGGAGCGGGAGGAGGGGAGGAGGGAGAGAAGGAGGGGGAAGGGGGAGGAGGAGGGAGAGGACAGGGAGGGGGAGAGGAGGAGGGGAGGAGGGAAAGGGGGAGGAGGGAGAGGAGGAGGAGGGAGAGAACGGGGAGGGGGAGAGGAGGAGGGGAGTGGAGGAGGGAGAGGACGGGGGAGGGGGAGGAGGGGGAGAGGGAGAGGAGGAGGGGGAAGAGGGGAAGAGGGGGACAGGGAGCAGGAGGCGGGAGAGGACGGGACGGGGAGAGGAGGAGGGGGAGGAGGGGAGGGGAGGAAGCGAGAGGGAAGCGGGCAGCAAGCGGAGCGCACGGCCCCCGGCCAGCGTCCCCAGCGCCCTCTCCAAGGCGCCCACGGCAGCCCGCCCGCTCGGCGTGGAGCGCAGGGCAGGTGCGTGTACGATGCTCCAGTATCAAAATGTCTTGGCAAAAAAGATCTCGAAAGGAACCATGAAGTTCTGACAAAAATAGAAATCTGTAATAAAGCTCTAACACTAAAATAAAAGGAACTTCCGTAGACTGTTTCACGCTTTGTATAGTCACACTCGGGCACCTCTGATGGCTTCCAGTCTCCGATGGGAAACATAGTTTCATACAAAACACGCGCGATGCCGGCTTCACGCTGCTTCACACGCCTGGCGCGCGTCTTCGGGTCTCTCTCGCACGCACGCACGCACGCACGCACCTGCGCCTCACCCTCCCCGGCGACAGACACACGCTCACTTCACGGGGGCACTGGCACGGACGGGCAACACGCGGAATCACGACAGCGACCGGGTGGAGAGGCGGGCGGCGGCTGCGGGCTCCGTGCTCCCGGCCCGGCGCCCCGGACTAGGCGCTCTCCTTGGCGGCGACGGGCGCGGTCTTGCTGGAACCTCCGTTCTGCGCCTTGTAGCCGGCAAGGCCAGGGCCCAGCAGCGTCCGGGCGCCCTTGGCGCCGTGACTCAGGGAGGGGGGGGAGGCGGGGGAGGCGGAGGGCGCGGGAGGGGCGGCGCGGCCGTTGTGAGTCTGCGGGGGCAGCGGCAGGTGCTGGCCTTTCCCTGCGTGCGCCAACTTGGAGGCGCCGTTAGAGGCGGAGGGGATGAGGGAGGCGGCGGGGGCGGGCCGTCCTGCGGAGGGGCTGAGAGGGTTAGAAGCGGCCGATGGCTTAGGAGCGGGCGCGTTAGGGAGGCTGGAGCCGTCACCGCTAGAGGGGAGAGAACCGCTTTTCCCAGAGCTGGGGGACAGGGCAGGGATCTTAGAGGCAGGCAAGGAGGGAGAGGTAGGCTTAAAGTCCCCACCAGCTTTCTTAGCACTTCCATTGGCCTGCAAACAGAGACGGCGGGGGAGGGGGAGACAGGGTCAGAAGCCGGCCGCGAGCCCCTCACAGGGACAGCACGGCCCGCCCGGGAGCCACTCACAGACACACCACCACCGTGTCCAGGCCTGAGCTGTCTGTGCCGTGCACCTGCCAGAGCCCCCTCCCCCCAGGTGCACAGCACAGGGAGCCGAGAACCGGCGCCCCCCACCCCCCCGGCAGAGTTAAGGCGCTGCTGACTCAAGGACGTTAGTGTGGGACCGAGGGCCGCGTGCGCACAGCTGGGCTTGTCTCTCCCTGGTGTCCTGGTCGCACGCTCAGGGCAAAGCCAGCGGGCCTGGCAGCGCGCGCACAGTTAAAACGTGGAGTCGCCAACGTCAAGGCTGTCTCGTCGCGAGCGTGCAAGAGCGTGGAGAGGGCTCCAACAGCGGCTGCTAGCCCTGCCTCGTGCCCACCCGAGCCCGCCGGCCGCCGGCCGCACTGCTCTACGCTACGGCTTGCTGAACCGCGATAGTGTCCGTCCAAGTTGGGGGTTAAGGCAAAACTACCTGGCGGTACTGGCGCGGGTCCTGCAGCTTGGACGGCTTGCCGGCTTTGTCCAGGCTCCCGGGTCTGCTCTTGGAAGTCAGGGGCACTGGCATTCTGCTGGTCTGGGGGGTCCCGCCGGAGCCCTGCGGGAAAGAGCGGCGAGACGGGGGAAGGGGAGAGTATGAGCGCCTTGTCCCGGAGGCTGCCCTACTGTGTGCTGAGAAGCCCGAGGTGCAGAGCCCCCGCCCGGCATGCAGGAGAGACGGAGGAGACACCGACTGGGGTTAATCGGAAGAACCAGACAGAATCCACCGCTCACTACTGATCCAACGGATTTTAATGTGAGTACCAGAGCAATCGTCCATCTCCACAGCACACGGCGGACCCAGCACCCTGGCGTGTCCCCGACACCGCTCAGCCGCAGGTGCACACACACTCGATTAGCTGTTAGACACCTAAGGCCGCTGGACTGGCAGGTGGGGAGACAGCAGGACAGACGGGGCCTCGCGGCGCACAGACAACACCAGCACCAGCACCCACAACCACGCGAGCTGCCCGCTAGGAAGCGACTGAATCACCAGACACCTTCTGCTAAGGGCAATTATTGGCAGATTTAGGAAAGCGGCTGCCGCTTCGCTCCACGCCAGACCACGGTACCTTACGCGGAGCTGGCGGTACTGGCGTGGGGGGCTCTGGGGCAGTGGGCACGTCATCCCGCACTAGCAGGGTGTGGGGAGGGGGCCCGTGGCCGCGTGGCGGAGTCGGCGAGGGCTCGGGGGCTCATCTCGCTGATGGTGTTTTCCAGCTGTTTGATGGTCTGCTCCAGGCTGTCCAAGGTCCGGTAGGTGTTCTTCCGGATCTCCTCGGTCCGTGAGCTCTGGGCCGGGCCCTCGAGCGCCCCCTCGGGCTGCGAGCTGGGGATTTCGAAGCGCCGGGCTTCCTTGTGCTGCTTCAGGGTGCCGTCTTCCTCCTCCTCCTCGTACACCACCACCTGCAGCGTCTTCTTCCCTGTTCTGGTGCCGGTGCGGATCGCCTGCGTGAGCGCGGCCAGCTGCTTTTTGGGGAACTTGAATTTGAACTTCTTCTTGGGGCTGTCAAACTGCTCGTCGGCTGCATCGCCCCTGCCCTCGGGACTCAGAGCGTCTCCCGGGCCCGACTCGTTCAGGTCGGCTTTCCTGGGGGCCCTGCTCCCTGCCACCAGCGGCGAGGGCAGCGGGAACGGGCTCTCGGCGGGCTGTGCTGTCCCCAGAGTGCCTGAGGCCACCGTGGAGGCAGGCCCGGGGGCGGAACTGCTCTGGACGGGGTCCCCATTCTCCTCCTCTTCCTCCTCCTCTATCTTCTCCTCTGTCATCATTCTCTCCAACTCCTCGTCGCATTCCTCGAAAATGGTGGACAGCCTCTTGTAGGCAGAGCGGATGTCCATGGGCTCGTCGAAGATGATGATGACGGGCTTCCTGTCCAGGCACACGACGGGCTCCTCGGGCCCCGGCCCCTCCCGCCTGCCGTCGATGGTCACCGTCTGCACCTCCTCCCCCTTGCGGCTCACGATGTCCTGCACCTCGCCGCTGGACAGCGCCTGCACGGCCGTCCTGGTGATCATGAAGGCGATGTTGCCCTCGCTCGGGGGGCCCGGGGTCGGGTCCCCGTTCTCGGCGGGTGGCACGGGCACGTGCCTGGCCCCTTTGGGTCTGAGGACAACTTGGCCCACCCCTGTCGGCGGCGCCTCCAGGCCTGGGGCTTGAGCCAGCTCTGTCGCTGGGGTCAGGGAGGGAACGTGGGCCCTTCCTGTGTGCTCCCCTCGTTCTTGCTCTCTCTCCTGGGTCTTTCCGTAGTTCTGAGGCTCCAGGCCCGGCGTGGGGAGCTGCGGCCCTGCCACGGCCGGTCGTTTGCTTCGCTCGTCTTCTAATGAGCTCACGCTGGAGACGCTGAGACTGGCCTCCACCGCGCGTTTCTGGAAGTTTCTAGCGTCACCGGGTATGGAGCTCTCCTTCCCCGACACGTCGGGTTTGGATTCTGCAGCTGTGGACGCATCAGGAACACCGTTCTTGCCTGTGTCCCGGCTGGGGGCGCCACCAGGGCTCAGAGCCCCTGCCGCGACCTGAGAGGGAGGGGAGCGGGGAGGGAAACCACACACGTTAGTCGGATGCGGCTGCCAGGCTGGGAATTCATGTGCACGGCTAGCAGGTGCAGCACGGGCCTGAGGGGCTCACCTGTGGCGAGGCCGTGTGGGGGCCGTGCGGGCGCGCAAGCTCAGATTTCCACGCGTCTTCATGGGGAAGCTCCGAGCTCTGGCAGAACAGTGCAGGACACGTTACGGCACGGGCCACCCCTCACCGTGCTCTCCCACTAAGCGCCTCCTGTAATCACACTTCCGAAGCCCGTGGGCCAGGCGCCCTCTGAACACGTGGGGGTGAGGCCGACTGCTCTGCCTGCCTGGCAGCGCTTTGTCCGCCAGCTGCAGGAAATGCCCTGGGTTTGCGCACACGGAAACCTCAATGAGGGAACTACAGGTCGGGGGCGGCCTGGGCGCGAGGAGAAAGACAGACGGGCCGGCCCACTGCGGCTCAGCCTCTGTGGGACACCTTGGCAGGAGCCCAGCACCGCGGGGAGGTGCCTGTGCGGGCTGTGCTTGGCTGTGGCACTGGGGGCCGTGTCTCCTCGTCTGTGAACTGAGGATCTCCACGGGGGGGTGGGGTTGACACCCCTCCCAGCAGGGATCTCAGTCCTGTCTCTGCCTCCATTAAGGAACCTGTGCACGAACACTTCCGAGACGTGGGCTGCGGTCCCCTGGGATGAGCAAAGCAAGCACCGGAACTTAAAGTGCCAGCATCAAGATGACCTCCTGACGCGGCTCAGCCACGAGGACCCGGTCCAGACTCAGGGCGGCCACGCCGCCGCGGCGGGATCTGAGCCTAAGGCTGCGTGTCAGGGCTCCGCTGTTATCCTCCCCACGCGGATGCGGAGCGAAGACGTGTCCGAGGCCTCGGGCTGAGCAGCCAGCAGCGCGGCCCCTCCCTGCCCTGGCCCGCCGTGCCAGCCCGGCCTTGTCCCTGCTGGCCTTCCTGCTGTGGAAGCCCAGGCACAAAGGGCGACAGTAGCAGGACAGGGCCCAGCCCAGGGAGGCCGTTCAGTGGAGCACGGCGCAGCGACCCAGGCTGAGCGCAAGTGAACCCAGAGCGCTCGCATGGTCCCGGTGAACACGGGAGGAACGCTCATTCACAGCCAGCAGTAACGCACAGAACCCAGGCCGTGTCCATCCCGAGGAAACACCCGCGAGCACCAGGAGCGGGAGCCACCCAGCGCCTCCTGCTACACGTCCCCTGGGCTCCCCTCCTCCCACCCACTCCAACCCCAGCAAAGCCCGCACACAGTGCACGGCTCGGCCGCACAGCTTAACCACTTTCTTTGGTGCCGCTTTAAATTCAGATGGTAGCACAAGCGGCGCAATCAAGGACGTTTGGCCCCACGCTTCAACTCCACACACAGATCGGGCCCATTCTGCTGGGAACGGACCCTCGTGTGAGGAGAAACTAGGGCTGGCGCCTGCCCTTGTCAATCACAGGGTGTGTGCACCCGCCGTCAACTATCCTGAGGGTCTCCCTGCCATGTGTGTGTTTTAGCAGGGATCCGGTCCCAGGACCACTCCAGTGGAAGGTCGCTGGGTCTGGGTGTCACGTGGTCTTTCACTTCGGTCACTGGGCTAGAGGTCGCATCCACCCATCAAAGCAGACACCCCGATTTCACCCGGAGAACTCGGCCACCTCTGCAGGCAAGCCGACACGCTCTCCTGGGCTTCGCAGCTCGAGCAGCGTGGACGATGGTTATGGCTCGCTCTTATCTGCTCGCAGGTCCCGAGGGTGGGGGTGCTGGAAAGCGGAGGAGCACACGCAACAGACCCCCGCGTAGAGACAAACCTGCGTCACAGCGAGGCACGGGGCTGGGCCTTCCAGGTGACGTGAGAAGGGTTTCAAGGGGACACCTGACTTACGGAGGGCAGCTGGGCAGCCCAGGAAGAGGTTAATAAAGGCAAAACTAGGGGACGAGTGAAGAGTGCCCGTCACTCGGTGAGACCTGCACCTGCTGTGGGCTGAGATCCATGAGACCCAAGGGGTCTGGTGTGCGAATGGGAGAGCGGGGGTCAGCTCGCCGCTCTGGCCAGAGTGCAGTCTGCGACACCCAGCCGTCGTCTCCAGGGGCATCTCCCCAGTTCCCAGCAGGGTTTCAGACAGAAAGGGGCCCTCCAAGCATTGGTCCTCAAAGGCCCCCTAAGCAATCCCACACGCTGGACGGACAAGCAGTACGTCCCCAGCGTCACAGGCTCACTTCTAACTGGGAGGAGGTCTGCAAGGCAAGGACTGGTCAGCAGCAATCTGATGAGCTCTCCCAGGCCTAGGCAGGCCCTCCTCCCCAACTACGGGCCTCGTGTCAGTTACACGGCAGGTGCAGGGCCCCAAGGGCTGTGATGCTGTGAGCCCAGGACTGACTCTGACAGGCTGGTGGTGTCAGGGTGGCCCACCCACAGGGCGCCCCTGGATCTTCCTCACCAAGCTTCCTGCGAGCCCAGGCCCCCACTGCCTTGCCTTTATCGGAGGGAAGCGGGCTCTCTGCGTTGTTAAGCGGCAGTACCTGGGGAGAAACGCTAGGGCCCGAGTGGGTCGCCAGCAGCCTGTCTCCTGAGATTCAGAGGCTTGCTTCCAACAAGCTTCTACTCCCGCTCCAGTCAAGCTCCAGCCCCCCTTCACGGAGAGACCAGCCCAGCGGTGCGTAGGGAACGTGGCAGACCGTGCCTCGGAACCCGGGCGTCCGTGTGGAAGCCACCAGTGTATCCGCACCAAGACGATGCCGAAGGCCCACTTTAAAGACTGCCAGAGGGGGCGAGGATGTGGGCAGCCTCCCCAGGCAGGTGCTGAGCACTCCTGCTTCCGTGAGAACGCGCCCAGGAAGGAAGGCAGGTGTTCCCGTCACTTGTCCTTCCTCAACATAAAGCTTTCCCCTGTTTTTAAACACGGATTTGTTTTCTGGTCCGTGTGCACCGTCTTCCGGAGCTACTCTGATTTGAGGGGCGGGGACTCTCTAGAGGGGAAGGTACTGTCTACAGTACGCTCTCTGGAAGCCTGAGCCACACGTCGCTCACCTCCACGGAAACCTGTGTCTCTGTTCATTAGCAAAGAGGAGGGAGAGAGAGAGAGAGGGGGAAGGCCCGGTGGGGAGAGCTGTGTTAGTGCTGGGCGAGGAGGGGAGGGCCGTGGGCCGGTGGCACGCGTGTCACTGCCTCGTTACCTTTCTCTCCTTGGCTGGGGCTGTGGCGCCCGGCCTAGTGTCAGCCCGGGGCTGCTCAGCGAAACTGTTTGAGTTTACATCCATAAAGGAACACTTCTGGAAGGCCTGAGGAATTAAAATACTGAGGTTAACAGGGATCTGAGTGTACCGGCGGGGCAGGGATGCAGGGAGAACTGCAGAAGCGTGGGAGGCAGGACCCCGCTCCCCCGGCCTCACCGGGGCCAGGCCGACACGGGGGGCTGAGCCCTGGGGAGAGGCCCCGGCTTGTCTGGGCCTCCCCAGATCGCATGGACAGAGAGCAGGACACGCTTCCTTCACACTGGGTGACCCTGACCTGCACGCTTGGGGGCCGTGCTGCCTGCTTTGCCCTCTACACCGTGTTGAATGTGTGAAAGCTGTCTTCCTGGTTTTTTCCTTTAGACCAGCCTGACTGACATTACAGGAAGAAGGCCCACAGAGACTTCAGCCTTTCATCCCTGAACGCGTGCAGTGTTTCCCTCTGAAATGAAATGGCAACAGGTGCTATCATGCCCTGCGGTGTATGAGGGACTTCAAAAAGTTTGCAGAAAAAACAGAATTCAAAGGTTAGTTTAGTCTTGTGTAAGAAAACTGTGAAATTGGGGCCAACGCTGTGGTGCAGTGAGCTAAGTCACTGTCTGTGATGCCAGCATCCCATATGGGCCCTGGTTTGAGTCCTGGCTGCTCCACTTCTGATCCAGTTCCCTGCTAACGCACCCAAGAAGGCAGACGATGGCCCAAGGGCCTGGGCCCCTGCCACACATGTGGGGGACCTGGAGGAAGCTCCTGGTTTCTGGCTTCAGCCTAAGCCCTGGCCACTGTAGCCATCTGGGGAATGAACCAGCGGATCTCACTGTACCTTTCAAATAAATAATCAATCTTAAAAAAAAAAAAAAACTGAAATCCATGCCTAGTTTTTCATATTACGTATTTTTCCTGAACTTTTTATTTGAAAGGAAGAGAGGGCAAGAGAGAGAGGCCCTATCACCTCTCCCCCAGAGTCTGCACTGTCTGGGGATGGGCCAAGGCCAATGTGCCGGGAGCAGGAACTCAATCAAGGTCTGACACGTGGGTAGCAGGGCCCCAACCACTTGCGCCACCACCCCTGCCCCCAGGGTCTACACTGGCGGGGAGTGGATTCAGACGCGGAGCCAGGAATCGAACTCCAGTGCTCTGCCGTGGGATATGGACGTCTTAACCACCAGACCAGCGCTCACCCACAGGAACGTTCTGGAGTGCCCTGGTGTTTAGGATAAGGAGATGCTCGCTAGTGCCCAGGTGGTTCTTGGTAGCCAAGGAGTTGCGTTAAGCCCTGGAGGTTTGTCTCTGGACACCACCGAGCCATGACCGGAACAGCCACGGGCTGGCTCCTGTGAACACCGAGACTGGAAGGCAAATTTTCCGGGCCGGCGGGATGCAGACTACGAATGAATGACTGAATATGTCTCTGTTGGGTCTATAGGGCTCACAGGGAAGTGGGTGTCCAGAGCGCGTCTAGATGCTGTGGCTGTGAGACCAGGAGAGACAGGGACCCGGGGACTCGGGTTCATGGAGCCCAATGTTCTCTCCTGGGCTGCTAATCACCTCGGAGAGAGAATGCTGTCCGCAAGGCCTCCTACCCCTGCTGGAAAGGGTTCTGCACACCCCACCCCCTTCTCAGGGTGACTCTCATGTGCTGCCAGGAGTAAAACCATGGCTCTGCTGGCTCATCCTAACGGCCACTGTCACTTAGAACCGCAGGCAGACTGGGATGCATGGCCACCCTAAGTGGACACACGGCGCTGGACACAGAATCTGAATGGAGCGCATGACAGGGCATTCCCATGCCCGGCCATTGCTCTAGGACTCGGCCCTGCCATGTTGGCTTCCGGGCTGTTCCTAGCACGGGCTGGGCTGGGCTGGGCGTGCTGGGCTCCTCTGCTCGCCCACAGCTGCCCCGGCTACGGCCACGCTCCACGTCCTTTGGGCTCTCAGCTGGAGCTGCAGCCTGTGTCTTCCTCTGACGCCTGGTGACACAGAGCGTGGAGGGAAGCAGGCCCTCGGCTCTCCTGGAGGGGCCGGGCAGCCCCTCGCCCTGCCTCAGGGCACACACAGCCGGAGCAGCTCTGTCGGGCTCTCTGCTGTCACGGGCGGGCGGGGGTGTTATGTCAGCCAGACGGCCTGTCTCCTGGGAAGTGTTCCGTCCAAAGGAGGACCCCAGATCTGGGCCCGATTAATGGTGGGACACAGCTCCACATGGTGAACCGCAGGCGTGGCCCCCCTTCGGGAACAGTCCTGGCTTGTTTATAAGCGCCAAAGACACCAGCTTGATGACCCCAGTGTTCCCACGGGTAAGGCTCTGGAAACAGCGTGGCCGACCACAGGGACGCCCCGCACCAGGCCCCCCCCCCCCCCCCAGCAGCTCTATTTTGGCAGTTACTGCCGTGGAAACGACGTAGGACAGGTGCCGGGAAACGCTGTGTTCTGATCAGTTCCCTTACTGCACAGGGAAGGAAGACCCACGGGCGCGCAGGGAATCACCCGAGGGTTCGTGTACAGGCAGCACGTGCTGGAGTCCCGAGGAGGCCGTGGTCTGACCTTCCGCTTACGGAAACACCCCCCTCCACCCCCCGGAAGTGCGTCCGTCCAACCGACACACGCCGCAGCACGGGGGCTGGAGCTGTGCACGCGTCCTGGGTCAGGCGTGTTCCAGTCACACCCGTGGTCTGAAGGTGAGGTCATTTTCACGTTTAGCACCTTCACCCTACCCTGAGCCCATCCGCAGACCGCAGCAGTGGGTTACAAATGAAACATCTCAAACTACTACCGCTTCTCAAACAGGCACGGGAGCCAGCCAATGAGACGACTGGGCTTCTCAGGAAGCTCGACAAGGGGATGCTGAGCTGAACGGGACCACAGGGGAGCTACAGGAGGCTGGCGCTCCTCGTGTGAATGCCAAAGAGGGGGCCCGTCGGAAGCCAGCTTCCACCAGAGCTCAGCGAGGCTGCACACCCGCTGGGTCCCGCCTGGGCAACCTCTGGCATGAAGCAGACACTCCGGAGACGGAGGGGAAGGCCAGCGAGTGCTACCAGCTGGCGCCAGGAACGTGTGCAACTGCTTCTCCGTAGGAGTCTCAGGGCTGGTCAGTGGGCCGCCCGCTCTCACAGGCCACGCTGGTGCTGCGGGCGCCTGGCTCGGCTCCACCTTGGGCGGGGGCAGCCGCAGCAGGAGACGCACCTGCTCTCTCCGGCCAGCATGTCTGTGAGCACTGGGCAGGGAGTCCCAGACGCCCTGCACGTCATCCACATACCTGCAGCTCTGCCATTATTTTGTCTCCTTCCTCTTCCTCCTCCTCGTCCTTGGGAGACGCAGTGACTGCTGGTGAGGCCGGGGTCCAGGCTGAGGCGGGCTCCTCTGTGGAACACCGGGTGGCTCTGGTCTGTGGGCTCGGTCCGGCGTCCTCGCTGCTCGCCTACGGAGAGTCAAAGCACAGATGCTGGCGTCACGCCAGCCAGGAACCAGCGAGCGGGGGACACGTGGTGCCCACGGCCTACACCGCTGACTGTGCAGCTCTCCCCGTCTAGCAGAGGTCTGCTGTCTGCCCAGTGTTGCGTTTGCACTTGTATGTGCACCAGCTGCCACCCTGCTGTGTGCACTGACAATGCTGGAGACACGGCAACTCTCTCACATCCAGCTCTCTCAACTACTTCCTGAACAGCCTCCCACGCCTGTGTCGGCCCGCCTCGGTGACCGCTGCATCCCCACCTACCCCACACGTGCTGGTCCGATGCCTGCACCCGTGACCTGCCTTTGACCCGGTCGTGGCCTCAGCCAAGACAGGATCCCACCTGGGATCCTAGTGACTGCTCCCCTCCACGGCACCCGCCTGGGTCCACCCAGGTCCCCCGCCGCGCACCTCCCCCATCCAGCCCAGTGTCCGCCTCTCTTCTCTGCCTCGCGCCTGCTCTGAGAGTGACCTCTGGACCTGAAACCAGCATGCCAGACCTTGGCCGTGACGGTCTCCTTCCTGCTGGTGTAGACCACGTCCCCCGACCTCGTGGTGGTGAGCCCGGTTCCTGGCAGGTAGCTTCGCCGAGGGGGCGGGGGAGGAGGGGGTGGTGACTTTCCCCCCTGCTCTGAATTTGGAGAGTCTTCTGGAAAACAGGGTGACATTGCAAACATCACCTCTCTGCGAGATCCCGTCCACGGGTCAGTGTGGGCTGTAACAGTGCCATCCCACGGAAGAATTCCCTGCATGGAGTGATGACTGCGGGTGTAGACCCAGACCCAGAGAGACCCTGCGTGAGCATCCACCTCTACCTCGGTTTCCTCACTTGTCAAATGGGTAGAACAGTAGCACCCTCGGGGCCCGTGTTGTGGCTCAGCGGGTTAAGCTGTGCTTGCAGCGCCAGCATCACCTAAGAGCACCGGTTGGTGTTCCAGCTGCTCCACTTCTTTGTCTTTTTTTTTTTTTTCTTTAGAAGTTTACTTATTTGAAAGAGTTAGAGAGAGAGAGGTACAGAAAGACAGAGAAGTCTTCCATCTGCTGGTTCACTCCCCAGATGGCCACAAAGGCCAGAGCTGCGCGGATCCGAAGTCAGGAGCCAGGAGCTTCTTCCGGGTCTCCCATGTGGGCGTCGAGGCCCACGGACTTGGGCCATCCTCCACTGCCTCCCAGGCCACAGCAGAGAACTGGATCGGAAGAAGAGCAGCCAGGACACCAACTGGTGCCTACATGGGATGCCGGCACTGCAGGCAGCGGCTTTACCCGCGATGTCACAGAGCTGGACCCCTCACCTCCTGCCCAAGATTCTTGAGCAGTGAGACACAGGCCCAGTGACCAGACCCCATCCAGGGGTGGCCCCACAGAGCGCCCTGGGCGTCCACGGGGACCCGGAGCTCACCCGAGAGCTCCAGCTTGTCCACTGTGCCCTCTCCCCTGGGTGGCGGGCCCGGCGCGGGCGGCATCTCCAGGTTTGGAATGGACTTCATGATGTTGGCCTGAGCTTCTTCCAGGAGCTTCTCAAACTCTTTGCCGTTGTAGTGGTCCGGGTTTGGCCTTTTCTCTTCCCATTTCTTTTCAACTTTCTGAAGGGAACCAGCAAGTGAAGAAAGGTTAGGAAAAAAAAAAAAGAAGATTAAGGCAAAGCAAACAAACACGAGAACCCAGAGGAAAGCATGGCCGTGTTGGGGATTCCTGTTGGGGTAGGGGGGGTAGGCGTGGACGGAGGACAGCCTGGGCCCAGGCCCCCCCTCCCTTCTGCTGCCACCTGTGCTGGGACAGGTGCCCTCTGGCCCTGTGACACTCCCAGAGCACTCAGATCAGGGGACGTGGCACACACGCCCGCCAGCACCCGGGTCACGCGCGCCTAGGGGCTGTCTCCCACTACCAACTCTGTTTTCTCCCGTCGTGGGGCTGGGGGCAACACCTGCTAAGAACCGAAAACATCCCAAGGCTCAGCTGCACTTAAGTGAAAGAACTGCCACCGGTTAAGACCCCCGGGGACCCCGGGTTCTCACTTTAAAACGGGGGTGGGGTGGGGGGGGGCATCTAGATTCCGGAGAGTTCTGCAACAGGGAACATAGGAGGAACACATTCCTAAACACCTGCCTACTCTCAAAAACATCTACGCTGTGGCGCAGTGGGTTACGCCTCCGCCCGCAGTGCCGGCATTCCATAGGGGCGCCGGTTCGAGTCCCGGCCGCTCCACTTCCGGTCCCGCTCTCTGCTCTGGCCTGGGAGAGTGGTGGAAGATGGCCCCGGCTGGGACTGGGCGTTCACTGGGCCTGGACCCCAGGTGCTCTGCTCTCGGAGGTGGTCTGGCTAGTGGCATCTTGGGCACTGGGTCCACCGCCGGCCCGGGGGGGGGGGGGGACACTTGGCGCTTTTGCTGTCTGGGCGGGGCTGGGGGAGGGGTGGTTACACCTGCAGGGGCCTTCTCAGGGCTGTAGGCTGGGCCTCTCTCTCCGCCCGGAGAACCCAAGGCCCCGGGCCCCCCAACACCCTGCCCGGGAGGGCGCGGGCCGGCGCTACCTCCACGGCCGCGGCTCTGGTCCTGGCGTCCTCCGCGAGCGGGCCGGGCGGGCTCTGCGCCTGCTGCCCGGTCAGGGGCACCACGTCCGGCTTCGCGTCGCCGCGGGCTGGGCCGCCGGCCTCCTCTGGGCCCCTCAGGACCTCCGCGGCCGTGGCCTTCTCCACCGCCATGTAGTGCGCGGCCTGGGCGGCATCGGCGCCCTTCAGGAGCCCGTCGGTCACATGCCTAGGAGAGAGCACGCGCGCACGCGCAGGTGCGAGGCAGCGTTAGCGGAGACCACTCACTTCCGGTGTCACCCCCTAGCGGGGCCGGCCGGAAATGCTGTTAGAGCAGAGTGTTAGTTCCGGGGTGTGGGTATTCATGGCAACTTCCAGACCCCCTCATGGGGGGTCCCGCAGTTACCCCTGCAGCTGCTTGCTTTGCCCGGTGTGCTGTGGTGCCTGCCGCCATCCCGTCACTGTGCAGGTGCTGGTGCCGTGGTGCGGACAACCTGACCCAACAACACACTCTCTCTCTGCGTGTGGCTTCCATCTGAACCCAGCCCCCGTGGCCCCAGGACACAGTCCTCACCCAGGGCCTCCTGCTGTGTTCCAGATCCTTCTGCTGGGGCTCTCTGGCTGCCTCATCTTCCCACAGGGTCAGCGGTGACCATGACCTTATGTTCAGTCCTCACCCTGCCACGTTTCAGAGTCACGGGAGGCTGTGTGTCCATCCCTGCCCACGGGAAAGACGAGGCCTGGGGGCCAGAGAGTCCTGTGTGTGAGACCAGTTCTACTTGGTCTCACCATCACACCTGGGCATCCCATCTTTCTTTAAAAGCTTTATTATCTATTTATTTGAAAGGCAGAGTGACAGAAAGAGATGGAGGGGGAAACAGAGATCGTTCATCTGCTGGATCACTCAAAATGGCCTCCAGGCACAAGCCAGGATCCCAGAATTCCACTTGGGTCTCCCACGTGGGTGCAGGGGCCCCAGGGTTTAGGCCATCTTCCACTGCTTTCCCATGTTCATTAGCAAGGAGCTGGATCTGAAGTAGAGCAGCTGGGACTCTGTCGCTGATACGGGATGCTGGTGTTTCAAGTGGGGGCTTAACCAGCTGTGTCGCACTCCAGCCCCACCCCATTCCTATTAAAATGCTCTTTCCTAGGCCGGCATTGTGGTGTGGTGGGTCAAGTTGCTGTATGCCCTGCTGTCATATCACATGGGCGCTGGTTTAAGTCCTGGCTGCTCCACTTCTCATCCAGCTCCCTGCTAATGCACCTGGGAAAGCAGCAGAAGATGGCCCAAGTGCTTGGGCCCTTGACATCTTCGTGGGAGACCCGGATAGAGTTCCCGTCTCCTGGGTTCAGCCACTGCAGCCATTTGGAGAGTGAACCTGCAGATGGAAGATCTCTGTTTCTTTCTCCCCCTCTCTCCAATTCTGCCATTCAAATAAGCAAAAATAAATCTTAAAAAAATGCTCTTTCTTCCTTTCTTGATTTGATAAAAGATATCACAAGTCTCTCCTCTGCTCCTCAACTTTATTTCTTGCTCCTTACTTTGCATGTTCAGTGCATTGAATCTCCAAGCCCCGCCCCGCTCTCAGCCCCTCCCTCTGAGTTCAGGCAGGGACCCCCTCTAGCTACGTCTTCTGAACTTCAGCCGACGTCTGCAGTACCCTAGTGGGCACCTCTGTTGGGACGTGGTTCCCGTGTCTCAAGTTCAACATACAGGGACACACGGCTGTGTCTTGGCAAGCCCCCGAGTCTGCTCTGAACTGTGCCTGGTGCCTGCCTTTCCTTCCCCACCACGGTGTGGAACAGGACACGTGCATGACCTCGGGACGTGCGTATTCCCGCCTCGTCCCCTGGGTCCTGATGGCAGCCGAAATGCCCTTCCCATTTCTGTTTATTTCCAGTTATTTAACTGCTGTCCTGCCTCACTCTCCCCACTGGTGGTTTCAGAGACAACACGTCACGTGGCAGTCAACACTGGAGGGAAGGCAGGCACAGAGCTACGTCTTCCACAGGGGCAGAGTTACCTGCCAGGCCGTGGGCTGCCTGTGTTTGCTTAACAAGAGGGGTCCCTCACAAAAGTGCTCCTGGAAACAAACCCTGCCCATGCGTGGACCAGCACAGTGCTAGTGGCCGTGGACTTCTGGAATCTTCTTTTCCAGGGAAGTGCCCGATGAGTCTGTGGTTTCTTTGGGTCCTTTGCTGCATGGTGACCCTGGCTGATGCGGGGGTTCTCCCTCAATGGGGGTGACTGGCTTGGGCCCCTCAAGGAGGACTTGCTTCTCCCTTAATTTAATTAAGACTTGGTTTCAACACCATTTCTTCTGTCCTGAAGCAAAGGAGGCAAACCCACTGTTCAGCCTCAAAACGTTCTTGCAAAAAATCCCTCCTTTATTAAAAAAAAAAAAAGATGTCTACTGAAGTTTAAGCCCTGGAAGGCACAGTGCAGTAAGCCTGTGTTGCTCAATTAGGCCCTTACGTCACAGAGCAATAGAAATTCAAGGTGGGAGGCAGTCCAGGCTTCTGATCAGCACACCGGAAGTGAGTCCTGATGAGTGACAGCAAGGAGATGGGTGGGACTTGGCAGAGGCGGGGAGTCCTACACTGCAGCCCAGGCCTTCCCGGCCACGCCCCACTCTGGTGGGCCCGCCCAGCCGTCAGCCCCGCCCCTCGGATCCCGCTCTTTTCACTGGGGCCCCGCCCCAGAAGCCCCGCCCCAGGGCCCTGCCCCAGCACAGCAGGTGCGGGGCGGCCACTCACCTGCGCAGCACCGTCAGGACGTCCGTGAGGCCCCGCACCCGCTTCAGGAGCCCGTCCAGCTTGTGCGGCTCCTCCTTCAGGAAGCGCACGGCCTCCACCTCGATGCGCAGGACCGCACGCATCTTGTTCTGCAGGGTGGGGAACTCCCCTGCGGGCCAGAGCGGGCAGTGAGATGTCGCGGAGGGGGGCGTGCCTGGGGCGAGGTCAGCTGGGCCTAGGGCCTGTCACGGGAGCCCCTCTCCAAGGGCAGGTGTCCCCAGCAGCGCGCCTCCCCGCCCCCACTAGTGCTGGCTGCGGGCCAGGGTCCGCAGGGCGCTCACCTTTCAGGGCGGCCACGGCTTCTCCCACCTGCCGCAGGAGGAAGGCGCCGTCCTCCACGTCTTTCAGCGTCACGGCACGGCCCGTGGCTGTGGGCTCCTTCTTCAGGTCATCCACGAATTCCTCCAGCTCGCTGCAGGGTGGTCAGACCACAGGCGGGGCTCAGCACCCAGGCTCCCAGCCCTGCGCCTCCCACAGCCACCGCGTAACCCCCCGCGGGCACCAGGAAGAGTCCCCAGGTGGGCCCCGGGCTGGCCAAGGGGACACTGTGTCCCGCTCAACAGCACCCACTGGTCACGGCCAGGGGTAGTGATGGCCGCTAAGGGAGGGGCCAGCGCACACTGTGATGGGGGGAGCGGGGCGAGACAGAGAGAGGGGGGAAGGGGACAGAGATGGGGAGGGGGAGGGGTAAGAGGAGGGGAAGAGGGTTGGCAGTAGAGGAGGAGGGGGAGATGGAGGGGGGAGAAAGGGAGAGAGATGGAGAGGATGAGAGGGAGAGAGGTAGGTAGAGGGAGAGAGAGAGGGAGAGAGGTGTTGTGGCTGTGGGATTAGTCCACAGGTCTTTAACTTCAGCCTTTGGCATCTTTCGTGTGTGTAGGGGCAGGGGCTGTCTTGTGCCCCCTCAGGTTTTCTGCAGCATCTCGGCTCTCCACCTGCTGATGCCAGGAGCAACGCCCCTCAGCCACCCAGCTGTGATAAGCAGGGCTGTCCCCAGTCCCCAAGCACTGTCGGCTATCTCTGGGGGCGGGGGAACAAGGCTGCCCCTGACTGAGCACCCCCCCCCCCACACCCCTGACTGTGCCATCAGTGAGGACGGATTCTCTCCTCTCCAACAGAGCTGTGTCCAGCACCAGCACCTGCATCGTGCCCTGGGGCAGGGGACTAAGCCCGCTGGCCGCTGGCGTCTCTCCCCAATCTCTGCAGCTTTGCTTGGAGCTCCAAGGAGTGAAAACCCCTGTTGAAAAGGTTAGGGGGCAAGGAGCGTGAGAAAGGAACCACTAGGTGGTAGCAGAGAGACAGTGGTGCCCCCGCCGGAGCGCCCAGCCTGCAGCCCGCAGCAGGAAGAGGAGGGGGCACGTGGCCAAGGAGACAGAGCCTCTGAGAGCATGGTGGCTGCGGGAGGGGTCCGGGCAGGGCCCCCGTTCTCACGTCCAGCCAGGACCACAGGGACAAATTCATCCGCCTTCCTGGAGCAGCATGGAGCTCCCGAGCCGTCTCTCGTTCCGCTATGGAGGCTGCCGCTGCATCTTTTGGATGGGACGAGGCTCTGCCAAGACCCCTCCCACAGCCCTGCATCCTGGAGGCCCAGGGCCCAGGACCCCCTGGCAGCTCCAGGTGCTTCTGCATTTTGTGCCCAAAGAGCACTGCTTTGCAGGGTGAACTGGACGGACCAGCGAAGACCCGAGTGCCGTCAGGGCTGCGTGCACAGCCCAAGCACCTGCACAGAGCCGTCGTCTGCCCAAGCCACTTCCTGAAATTCTACTTCCGCCTCATCTGCACACTGTGCCTGGTGGATTTCGGGACCTGGCACACAGCCCCCGAAAACACCACAGCTCTCATGCAGGGACCACAGGACATGGAAGTGAGCGTGGACTCCACTGTGCACAAAGCTCCCAGGCTTTTTGAGACGTACTTTAGATGAAGCACCACAGATCAAATCGTTCACTCGAAAGCTGGGACAGAAACCACAGAGCTGAAATACTTGCTGAACCCCGTGTCTGATCCTGTTATCAAGACAACTTTTGGAATAGCGGCTGAGATCAGTGAACAGCCAGATGCTGCGTTTGTAGCCTCCTATGTAAGGTAGGGCCTGCACTTGACCTTTGTCTCAAAGGAGCAGAACATCTGTCCAGACCTCTTTCGTTAGAGACCCATCTACTCCTGCCATCAGGAAGCCATGAAGGACAAAGGATCTTCACCCCACTTCTCTCCATAGTTTCAGCTGTTGCTCAAATTCTGTCTGTCTGCCATGTGAACGGCTCCCCAGGGACTCGGCCCAACAGGAGCCAGTTTCTCACGTGGACATAGAAGGAAGAGGCGAGGGAGGGAGGGAGAGAAGGAGTGAGATGGCTGTAGAGGTACAGGTGCTCCAGACCTGAGGTTTCCAGCTGTCTTTGACAACACACTCTCGCCTCCACGTCCATCCCATCGGTGAACCCACACACACCTTACAACAGGTGCACGGAACCCGACCACGGGAGACTCTAAAACAATGCATTTTCCAGATTCTTCTGGAAAACCCAGTTTTATAAAAACGGGGCTGTTCCAAAAAAACATTTCAGACAAAAGACAAGCAGTGCCCTTACCAGCTCACGCTGGGCGATTAACTCCCCAAGCGCATGAGTGGAGAGGGATTTCAGAAAATGTGGATCAACAGTGGCCTAATTTAATTTGGGGGACAATGATACATTGATCTTTTTCCCCCTTGACAATGTTAAGAGGGACGTTTTAGTTCTCATCAAACACAGTGGATTGGCCTCAGGGGGACTTGGGCTGTAGCTTGAATGTGAGACGGGAGACAGGACAGAGTGTCTGCAAGCTGTGACTTTACAACCCCTGATGTGGGAGACTTCAGCTCTCCCAGAAACAAGAGAATTACTCACACCAAGGGACCCAGAAATGTGAATATTCATTATCTAAAAAGTGAAAAGTTCCACGGTCATCTTCCGTGCACAACCAAACATTAACATAAAACACGTGGGCAGCCGGATGAGCCGCCACCTGCGGATTCATCCCTTATGGGCACCGGTTCAAGTCCCGGCTGCTCCACTTCCTGTCCAGCTCCCTGCTAATGCGCCTGGGAAAGCAGTAGAAGATGGCTCAAGTCCTTGGGCCCCTGCACCTGCGTGGGAGACCTGGAAGAAGCTCCTGGCTCCTGGCTTCAGCCTGGCCCAGCCCCGGCCATTGTAGCCATGTGGAGAGTGAACCAGTGGATGGAAGACCTCTCTCTCTCTCTCTCCCTCTCTCTCTCTCTGTAACCCTGCCTTTCAAATAAATAAAATGAGTATTTTTAAAATGACAGATGCAGCAGCCTCATGGGGGAGGAGACATACAACTCTGCTCCTTTCAATGGTGGGACTTGGGGTGTTTTCAGTAAGAACCTTTACAAGATTGGGTGCACCAGGGGAACGTGTTGCATTTAGATTCTTCTGTGATCTCAACTACACCTGGATGATAGGGAGATAATTTCAGGGCTGGGTTGTTTTTGCTAGGAGTCTGAGTTGTGTGGATGTGACACAGACTTCCCATGGGTCACTGCGCTGGGCATTTGCACCTGACACTGAATTCTGGGAAAGATCGGGTGCTGCAGTCGGCCTGAGGTTGGCTGAAGTCTCCTGGGCCTACACGGAGGGGGGGCCTGAGGTCCCGGGATACTCACAACCCAGCGCCACTCTGACCTGTACACAGTCGGTGCTCGCTAGAGAAAGGCGAGAATGCTAACCAAAAGGGCCTCTTTGTTGGCCAAGATCACTTTCCCTTCCAGGCGAAGGTGCACGGGGCCGCAGGCGCTCACCTTAGCTTCTGGCCAATCCTCCCCTCTTCCCGGAGGTACTTTTGTCTCTCCTGTTCCACCAGGGTGCGCTGTCGCTGCACGGGGTCCTCCAGGCGCCTCATGGTCTCTGCGACTTTGCTGCTGATCTCCAGCTCTGCCTTTTTTATCATTGTGCGCAGCAGTTCCTGGTTCTGCAGCTGCGGAGCGAAAGAGATGGACCTCAGCGGGTGCTGGGAGGTCACAGCCCTGCTGCTTTTTAATGTATTTATTTCAGCGAGAAAGGCAAGGGCGCCCACGCTGCACCGGGCGCTGCTGCTTCTCCCAACAACATCTGAGTTCCAGCAGCCACCAAGCAACCAGACCCGTGTGCCTATCTCTGCCACCTTTGCATAGGGAGGGAGCAGTCGAGGGCCCCAGTTCTGCAGCCACGGACGCTCTGGGTCAGAGCCCCCAAAACTTCTCCTAGCTCACGGGGAGACTTTGCACTTCTCTCTTAGGCTTTCTTGATCTCTGTTGGAAGCGGGCTGGGTGTTTGTCCCCTCCAAAACTCACACTGAACCTGAGTCCTCAGGGCTGGTGCCATGGCTCAGCGGGCCACGCTGCCGCCTATAGTGCGATATAGCATATATAGTACCTATAACATCCCAAATGGGTGCCGGTTTGAGTCCTGGCTGCTCCGCTTCCCACCCACTCCCTGGGAGCAGCAGTGACGGCTCAAGTGCTTGGGTGCATGTGGGAGACCTGGATGTCGCAGGCCTTTGAGGAGTGAATTAGCAGACGGACGATCTCTGTCTCTCTCTGCCTTTCAAATAAAATGAAAAACAAATCATGAAAAATGTCAAAATCCCATCATCCTCAGCCATATGCAAATGGTATTAGAAGATGGGGCCCGGGGCCGGCCTTGTGGTGCAGCAGACTAAGGATCTGCTTGCTGGCATCCCGTTTCCAAGTCCCAGCTCCAGCCCCGGCTCCTCTGCTTCCAACCCAGCTCCCTGCTGTTGCACCTGGGAAGGCAGCAAGGGACGGCACAGTTACCCGGGCTGTGCTGCCCACGTGGGAGACTCAGATGCAGTTCCTGGCTCCCGGCTTTGGTCTGGCGTAGCCCTCAAGGATTCTGCATGGTGCAGAACATGTCCTTAACAAACGCTGATCTGGCCAGGAACCTCTTTAGTGTCACTTAAAGGAGATGCTGCCTCTGTCTCGGGTGCACGGTTCCATGCGCCAGATAGCATGAAATCGCAGGTCCTTGGAACATGTGACTCGGCGATGGTGGCGTTGAGTGTTCTAGATGTGCCCAGGGCTCTTGGCAGCTTACCCATTTCCCAGGATCTAACATGGGCTGCTTCTGTCCCCAAGCCCACGATGCCCATATAGTTTCCGGAACACACTTGTGCCTGCAACTATAGAGGAGTACAGGGAAGAGCAGCGTGGCCACCAGGATTCCCCCATCGACAGTAATGATGGTCTGCCTGTTACACAATCCCTCCAGTTCCTCTGCAACTTCAACGGACACGGTTTGGTGGCCGCCTGATTGCACAGACAGGTCTACACTGCTGTGGCTGTCCCCGGCCTCGGGCCAGTCCACTCTCTGCGCACGTGGAGGGGCAGGGCAGCCTGATTGGTGACACCTGCTAGAAATCTCATCACAGCCTCCTTCTCCTCTAAAGCACAACCCTTCCTGCATGGGCCCTGCTGGGTCCCAACACGAGCCTGGCCTCCGACAAAGACTGCCAGGGGCTCCCTTTCTGGTGTCACCACCTCGGAGCCTGGTGACCAGCGGCCAGCTGTCAATCTCCGTGTCTGTCCATCGAAAGGTGGAAGTAACAGCTCACGGCTCACAGGCTGGTTGTGCAGATCCCGCGAGATGGTAATGAGAGGGCTGATGGAGGTGCCTGGTAGAGTTCTAGCCCTGAGCGCGTGGCAGCTGTTGCTACCGGGGAGCCTGAAGCCGGGGGCGGGGCCTGCGGTTCAGGCTGGGGCGGAATAGAAAGAACCATGCCAGTCTCTGTGATCTGTGACTCAGCACCACGTCACTCACGTTGCTGGCTAAAGTCCTTTTATTAGGGTCTTCCAAACAGCCGGCCAGGCACTATTTGGCTTGCTGAACACAATCAGTGGCGGGGGGGGGGGGCAGCGGGGGCAGCACTCAGAGGCCAGCTTCCTCCTGGGCGCTCTGCTGCTGCCGCTTCGCCCACGAGGCGCTGGGCAGGGTGGCGCCTCTGTCTGCGGTCGGGCACCTCCCACTGCACGCGCCCTGCACCCTCTCCAGACCGGGCACTCTCCTGTCTGCCGCAGGCATTCTGGAGCTGCGGGTCCCAGCTCCTGTTCCATTTCTACTCTCAGCAGTCTCTGGGAGGCTGTAAGCAGAAGCCCGCTAAGGAGCTGTTGAATGAGTAGACTGAACCGAGCAGGGATGTTGGACAATCACAGCCAACCGTGGCGAATCCGAAATTGTTGTCTAAGACGGTGAAATCGGCAGTGACCATGGTCTCGCTGGGAGCAGATATGAACAACGGCAACCAAGATGGAAATTAGCTGCCGGGATATCTGAACAAACTTGACATCCATCCAAGCTCAAGAGATGGGAAACGTGGAGCCCCCAGAGTTCAAATGACTTTTTTGGGGATCGCCTGGCAATGACAAGGCACAGGCAGGACTGGGACCCAGTCATTCGATCTCAACCCAATTGCTTGCCCCCCCGACCCCCCGGCCCCAAGGTGCACTTCTAACTAAGACAGGAACCCTGCCTGCTTTGTTTGCGGCTCCAATCACAGTTCCTGGCACACGGCAGGTACTCCCCCCAACATGAGGGAGCTTCAAGAGCTCACAGCACATGCACATCCTGAGAACGCGAGGCATGGTTTCAAAATCTCTTGCACCATTCGTCTTTGAATCCCATCGGTTTTCTCAAGTACCCATGGGTATGTCCTGCAAATCAAGGTCGACGCGACACCTGTGAGAAGGCAGTGGCCGTGCTGGGAACTCCAGTGCAGGAAAGAACCGTGTGCAACTTGACCTACTCCGTCAGACGAGGAGCAGGGACAGAGAGAGCATTCCAGTTTATTACCAGACTTCCCAGAAAGAGGAGCTGGGTGGGATCCCACCAGGGCACCAAGAAGGCATTTTTCACGGTGCATGCAGGCAACAGCAAGTGGATTACGAATACGCCTCTGTGTAGTTTCTCTGTGCAGTCTCCTCCGCCCCCCACCTGGTCTGTCTGGTGTTCAAGCCACAGCTCTGTCCCCGTTCCCCCCAGCAGAGAGCAAAGAGTCCCAAAGCCCGGATAGGTATCTTATGGCTTCCAGTAAGTCAGTTCTCAGCAGCTCAGACCATCAAGTTGGGAGGTGAGACCTCGACTACAATTGTTAGAAACAATTAATCAACTCTACGGAGGTACAGTTTAAGAAGGATGAAATGCACGCGTTGCAAATGCACGGTGCAGTGAGGTTCGACAAAGCCACAACTGAACAGGGAGACAACACTTTCTGCCACCTCAGATAGCTCCTTCACGACCCTCTGCCTTCAATGCCCTACCCCCAGCCCAAGGTAACCACTAACCCACTCCAGCTCCAGAAAATCACAGAAATGGAATCGCACCCGTAAGAGCGCACTCCCTTGTATCTGGCTTCTTTCATTCCAGGCATTATTTTCGACACGCAGCCGTGCATCCCATCTTCCAGGGAGTCATTCTTTTTAGTGCGGAGAGGTGTTGTGTATGCGCCTACTAAACATTTTAGCTTTGTATACATTGACTTGATTCTGGTGATCTTGCCAAATTCACTGATTTTCTTTTGTAGGTTCCGAACTCCTGACTTCAGACATACAATGATGTCATTAGCGAGTATAGACAACTATACTTTTCAATTCCCATCTGTCTGCCTCTGTGTTATTCCTTGGTCTTACTGTGCTTGGTAGGTTCTTCTGTATGGTGTCACAGGGAACCGAATGCCAGGTCTGGCCCGGAATTTCACGGTGCTGTGGTCTGATTAGTACTTTGGGTGTTTAAGGGCCCCCAAGTCTTATGTTAATGGTTAATGGACTGGGGACTGGCATTGTGGCACAGTGGGTTAAGATGCTGCCTGTAATAACAGCATGGGTTTGAGTCCTGGCCGCTCCGCTTCCTATCCAGCTCCCTGCTACTGTGCCTAGGAAAGCAGCAGAAGATGGATCAAGCACTTGGACCCCTGCGATCCGCATGGGAGACCTGGATGGAGCTCCAGGCTCTTGGCTTCAGCTGGCCCAGCCCTGACTGTTGTGGCCATTTGGGGAGTGAACCAGTAGATGAAAGATGGATCTCTGTTTTTGTCTCTGTCTCTCCCTGTGTCTCTGTAACTCTGCCTTAAATAAGACTTTTAAAATGGTTAATGGCGTTGGGGAATGAACTTTGATTATGGTGTGAGAAGGTGGGGCTTTCGGGACATGATCAGATTTGCTGGGGTCACTAGTGGAGCCCCTGATTAGTCAGGGTGGTTTTACATGGAGGGACGGCACAGACGCAGGTGGGGAGCCTGCTTCCTCTCTCTGTCTCCTGGCTCACCGAGTGAGCCTCCTTGGCACGAGTCCCACCAGCCACCTCCACCATCAGATGCCAGATCAGTGGGGCCACGTGATCTCGTACTGTGAACCTCCAAACACTCAGCTGCCCTACAGCTCCTTCTGCCAGTGGCAGTTTCTCTCAGGAATTTGTGTCACAAAAAGCTGACATACAAATACTGGGAATGTGTCTAGTGTTTCCTAATCAACTATAAGGTGTCTGTAGGTTATTTTGGGTATCCTCCATCAGGTTAAGAAAGTTTCCTTCCAGGCCGGTGGTTCCCATATGGGCGCTGGTTCAAGTCCCAGCTGCTCCACTTCTGATCCTGCTCTCTACTGTGGCCTGGGAGGGCAGTGGAGGATGGCCCAAGTCCTTGGGCCCCTGCGCCTGCATGGGCGACCAGGAAGAAGTACCTGGCTCCTGGCTTCGGATGGGTGCTGCTCCAACCGTTGCAGCCATTTGGGGAGTGAACCAGCGGATGGAAGACCTCTCTCTTTCTCTCTCTCCTTCTCTCTATCCATAAACATAACTCTCAAATAAACAAAAATCTTTAAAAAAGATAAAGTTTCCTTCTACTCTTAGCGTGCTGAGTGTTTCTATCATCGACGTTGAATTCTGACCCCTGCTTTTCCTGCCTTTACTGAAACAACACGGTTCTCATCCTACATCTTGTTCAAGAGGTCAAGTTCATCGCTTAGCTTTTTCATACTGAAACCACCCTGGAAGAACGGGTCATCCCTTTTGTAGATGGCTGGGTCCAACACTAATATTTTGTTAAGGAACCTTCAGTTTCCATGAGGGATATGGGCCTGTGGTTCTCTTTTGTTGCATCTTTGTCTGGTTTGAGCTGGGCCATGTCCTCTGTCTTATGAGTATCTTCTCCGCTTGGAGGAAAGACGCTGTCCGCTATCTTCCGCCTCGTCTTGTTTCTGATGAGCGGCTGGCGCTTTCTCCTTTACATTTCCCTGTCTGCAGTGTCCCTCTCTCCCCCACTTCCCCCAGCTATTTTTAAGATGTCCTTGTTTATCCCTGGTGTCGAGCAACTTGGCCGCGATGTGTGCTCTGTCACTTCCTTTGTGGTTAGCGTTCTGGGGGTTTTCTCAGCTTTGTGGTTTTTGGATTTACAGCTTTCCGAATTTGGGAAAAATCTCAGATATTATCTCTTGAACTATCTTTCCCTCTCTCTTGGACCACTTACCACTACCCCACGGGTCACTGTAGTTCCGTTCACTGTCTTCACGCCTCTGTCTATGCTTCCGTCTGGACAGCCTCTATCATGTTTTCAAACACATGTTCGGGCTGTGATTAATCTTCTATGAGGTCCATTCAGACTCTGTGTTTCCCAGCTCTTGAAGACCCTATTTCGGCACCATGTCTAGTGATTTCTGATTGGATGCTGGGCATGGGACGCGCACTCCTGCTGTTCTCCTTTCTGGGTTGTGGACTCCTGGGAGGCCACTGCGTCGGGGACAGACTTTGCTCTTCAGAGACTCGTTTTCAGAATCAAGGGCAGCCGTCCTCCAGGGCTACTTCAGCACCAAGACTGAAACCCAGTGGCGCAACTCCGCCTCTCCAGGCTTGCTTGTCAGAGGGTGGTCATCTCCCAGGCTGTGTGAGCTCGCTACCACATGTGTGTAGCTTACTGCTCACTCACAGACCCACAAACGTCCGTAGCACCTTCTCACACACTCTCTACACGCTGACCTCGCAGCTCCGATGACCGTGTCCTGCTCGCCAGCTCTGGGTCTGCGTCGTATCTGCGTGGTGCCTCCATCCAGAAAGCTGGGTGAATCCTAAGCTTCCCTTCTCTGTAGGGTCACACTCCCGCGCTGTGTGCTGTCCAATGTCAACACCGTTGCGTTGTGTATTTATCTACTTTCCACTTTTCTAGCCGCTAACGGCAGGAAGGCCAGGCGGTTCCTCCCTCCTGCCTGGAAGCACAGTTTATTGACAAGCATCCTTAGACAGAAATAACGCTCCTGGCCATTAAAGTCTTAATTGGACCACATAAGCTACCCATAATAACTTCATGAAGAAACTAGAAAGTTACTTAAACCTAATTCCACCCACCTCCAAAGGGACCTGTAGTTCACATACCCAATCCTGGTTTCTTAGGCAAATCCTGAGACTGTGCGGCTTGCCCACAGGGGGCGCCATAACCGCACTGACTCTGGCTTTGCTCCCCAGCAGGGGCCCTGCACGGTCTGTGAGTGGCAAGTCCAGGAGTTCCACGATGACAGCTGGGCTCCAGACTGAGCCCTGGCTCCTGGCCAAGTTCCTCCAGGCTTCAGGGACCAGCTCGAGGGTGCCTGGTCACAGCTGTATGTTCTGCGGGTGCTGTCTCTACATCTCCCACAGCCTCTGGCTGTCGGGGGATGTGACAAAGAAAGGCTTGGAGTAAAGGGTAGCCCAACATCAATCCCTGTGCTGGTTCCACTGCCTGTCCTCCCTGGCCCGCTCCACGTGGACCACGCCCCAGCAAGCTCTCCGTGGGGACACACGCTACCTTGGCTCTCCCTTTGGATGTCAGTGGGCCACTGGGGCCCTGGACCAGTTCTATCTGATGAGCAGAGAGGCGGAGACAACTGTTCTGAATGATATCCTTTCAAACATAAGAGATTTGGGTGCTGGGGCTCCTGTTCTATCTCCTCCCTCGTGTGGGAAGGGGCAGCAACTTCTCAGGAGTCTACAAAAGGCTACATTATGACCAGAATAAAAATAACCAAGTTTTTTTTTTTTTTTTAATTTATCAGGAGGCAAGAGATGGAGTGAGCAACAGTGGGAATTTAGAGAAACACAATGCGTCCATTCTCTTGATTTAGGTCGGGTCTCATCTGGCTCCCAAAGGACTTCTAGAAACTTCTCTCACCCCTCATCGCCTCCGAGAAGGACCAAAGTACAGTCCCTTCTGTGGATATGGGATTGTCCTGATTATCCTAGTAACCTCAGGTCCTGCGCCATCATGGGAAAGACACCGCCCCAGCAAACCACAGGCCACCTGTGGGCACGGGGACACGGCACAGAGCCCCTGTCAGCTCTCCTGCCACTGCATCACCCTCTGGGAGGGACCTTGGGGTGCTGAGCACTCCCGGAACCTGCTAGGCTCCCCTGCCTACGCTCCAGTCCACGCCGATGAGGTCGGACCCTTTCAAACAAATGAATCCTAGTAGACAGATGTGCGGGGAAGGGTGACCACGGGCTGCCCTCTGCCTTCCCAAACAGCCTCTGCCCTGTTGAAATCCACCCCCCCCCGGGGGGGGGCTGCGCCAGGTGTCCCCTCCCGAGAATCACCCATCAGTCTGAAAGACGAACGCTCCAAGAGGACTTCCCGATGGCTTCATCATCCGATTTCCAGAGCTTGGCTGCCAAGCACAAGGCTTCACGCGGTCTCGCCGTTGTACAGTGCGGTTCCCAGCACATCTCAGCGTCTCAGCCCATCTCTGTTCTTGTGAGACCATGGCAGGGGCTTCCTTGTGTCTCTGGTGACGGCCCCACTGTCGGACGTGTCGGCGCGGTGGGCTCGTGCTTCCCTCTGGTTTGTGGGAACCCACAGGCTGGGGGAGAGCTGGGGCTGAGCGGCCCTCGCGAATCGTGGCGGGAGGGGCAGACGGTGGGCGGGGAGGGGAGCTGATGGGGACGTGGACCCCAGAGTCAGCCAGGGCACAGAACGAGGTGCCGCCCCCTCTTCATGCGTGTCTGCCCTTTATTCCCAGGAAGCCGGAACAGCTGGACAGTGCTGGAACAAGCAGGGCGCTGGTGTGGTTCCCTCGCCGTCCCAGACCTGAACCTTGACCTTGACCTGTTTGAGGAGGCTGTGATTCCGTCAGGAGTGGCCACTGGTGGGAGAGCCCGCCCAGCTGTGCCACACCTTAGCCTCTGACACCTATGAAACATCCACGGCACACGTGTGGTTCACACCAAAGCAACTCTACCCCTGTCTCCAACCAGAAAGGGCCCGGTTTGGAGAGCAGGTGGGTCCGGTGCACCACCATGCCTTATTTTCCTGCTGGGTCCAGTGAGAGCACAATTCCAGCACGGCCAGCAGGTGGCGCCAGAAGGCAGGGACAGTGTGTGTGTGAAGGGGCTTAACTTCCACAAAGTCCTGGTTGGGGGTTTGGGGGAAGGCCCTCTCTCCTGGAAACAGAGATTTCAGTGACTTTCCAACATTTTAAGGAAGAGGTATTTCACAGAAAGCCCATATTCCCAGATTCTTTCGAAGCACTAAAACACCTACGAACGCTGGTCTCACGGCATCCGGTTATCAGCTGGCTGGGCCGAGCGCACCACAGCCCACTGTCCCTTCTCTCTTCCACCTGCTGGACAAGGAAGCTGACTCCGCCACCCTGCATGCAAGCCCTGCCCGACCTGGACACTTTTTTTCATTGCAAAGTGTCTTAATTTTTTTTTTCTTTTTAAATGCACGAGACAGACAGAGAGCAAGCTCCTATCTGCTGGTTCGCTCTCCAAATGCCTGCAGCGGCCAGGGCCAAAGCTGGGAATTGGAAATCCCTTCAGGGTCTCTTAGATAGGTGGCAGAGACCTAAGCCCTGCAGCCGTCACCAGGCACTGGGAAGAACCCGGATGTAGGAGCCGGAGCTGGAGCAGAACCCAGGCACTCCAGGGCGCAAGGTAGTGCCTTAACCACAAAGCCAAATGCTCCCCCCTGCAAAGTGTCCCTAAGACTGCAGAGCTCATACCAGCAGTGTGATGCCACAGACCAGAAGTGGACGTGCACTGGCTGTCCAAGCACAGAGACGCAGCGGCCCTGGGAGCTGGGGACGGAGGGCAGCCTGGTCAGGCCCATCTGGCGCTGGGGCCTTGGGGCAGGGCCCTCGGGCACACCACCCTTCTTGGCCCAGGGAAATCCCTTTGTCAGCCTTAGATAGGTGATGGGAGACTTCTCCATCGTGGAGCCCTGGGGGGGAGATGGAGGGCACCAGGCTTCTGAGTACGCTTGCTTTTAGCTCCCCAAGGGCAGGGCAGAAGCCTGCGTCCGGGTGACACCAGGCGAGGCCAGCGTTGTCCAGGCAGGGAGGTGTGAGGCCGACGCGGCACAAACGCACGGCGTCATAGAGACCGCAGCCCCTGGTTCCCTAAGACCTGAGCCAGGGCACAGATTTGTCTGCTTTTTTCCTATTTGTCAATCGTGGTGGCCGAGCCCTAGGACAGGAGGAGGGGTCGGTGAGGGGGGAGAGGGACGCGCATGTTACCTGCAGCTGTCGCATCTGCTGCAGCTGCCGTCTGAGCTCTGCCACACCGCGTCGCATGTCCAGCAGGCTCAGGTGCACGGCCGAGGCGCCGGCGGGCACGGGTGGCCCCAGCGGCTCTGCGGGCTCCAGGGCGCCGAGGGTCTTCCCGCCGGCAATGTGGGGTGTGCCTGTGAGGAGAGAGCAGCGAAGGAGCTGAGAACACGGGAAAGGGGGCCCGAGCTGCCCTCCCCCACCAGCTGGCCCCTGAAACACGCCCATTTCCCCCACACTGTGACCGTCAGGTCTAACGCACGCTGTGCGACCCCAGCCGTGTTCCACCCGGTGAGGACCACAGGAAGGCGGCCAGGGGGCAAGTGCCGGGGTAAGGAAGCTAAAGGCCTGTGCTCCTGCCTGTCCGTCCGTCCGTCCGTCCGTCCATCCGTCCATCCATCCGTCCGTCCGTCCATCCGTCCATCCATCCATCCATCTGTCCGTCCGTCCGTCCATCTATCCATCTGTATCATCTTTTTCTACCGACTTATCTCTACCTTCCTACCTACCTGTCCACGTACCCATGTATTTATCTATCTCACCTACTTATCTACGTAGCTACCTATGTGTCTAACTTCCGTCTGCCTTTCTATCTATGTAATCCTTATCTACCTATCCACCTACTTTCTCTACCTACCTACTTAGCTATGCGTCTTTCTGTCTCCACCTACTTTCTATCCACCTGCCTATTTACCTATCTACCTATCTGCCTAATCTCTATCCACCTTGCCACCCACTTATCTCTATCTACCTACCTACTGGTCTGTCTGTCTCTCTCCTTCAAACACACAGATTTGGGCAAAGTTCGCAGGTGCAGGTTGAGCATCGCTTATCCACACCCCCTGGGACCTGAAGGACTGCAGATCTGGGAAATATTTGCACAGACGTGACTGGCTGGCAGCCCCAACTTGAAAATCCAAAATCAGAAATGCTTTAACATCTGCAACTGCTGGCACACAAAAAAGCTTCAGATTTTAGGGCATTTTGGGGTTTTTGGATCCAAAGGAGTAAGGGAGTCTCCAGCTGGTGCAGTTCCAAATGTTTTATGTTTTTTATTACTATTTTTTTTTTGTATTTTCAAATCACGGTGAACATCTATCCCTTTATCATAGAAAAATTAATTTTAAAGTTCTGCAACCCATTACAAGGGCTCTTAAAATGCCTATTATGGAAAACCCACAGCTGGATTTCAACATCGTTGTACCCTTATTAACGTATCTTTTCATTTTCTGGGAATGGCATGCGTGTGCGTGCATGGCCGTCTCCCGCACGGCAGCGAGTAGACGCGCGTCCCACCCTCAGGCAGAGCTGTGTGTGATCACCACTGGTCGACTGGGTCTGCTCGGCTCCCAGAACCAACCCTGCCCTCCTCCCCTTGACAGAGAGCATGAACACAACCTGGGGTTCTTCACGGCTGGGTGGCCGTGCGGGACAACTGGTCTCCCACAGGCTGCAGGGCAGCGGGCACCGGAAAGGATGTGCAAAGGGGTCCAGCAGACCTGATGCTGACCTTGTCCACTCTGCTAGGAGCCAGGGTGCCTCACGCCACCCCCAGTTCCAGCTCTGACCGGCTTCTGGCTGTCTGCTGTCCCCCCACCACCCCCCAAATCGGAATCAGCCCCAGAAAGGGGCTCACAAGAGGCTCCTCCAGTTGACTTGCCAGGAACAGTGGCGGGTCAGAGGAGCACGGCGCCCTCTGGTGGCAGCTGCTCTGAGAGTGGTCACGGCCACCCACGCGGCTGATTCCTTAAGCAGAAGCACAGGCATGCATGTGCCCACATGCACACACGCATACACACACACAACAAATGACAGCATCACCGTGTTCTTCAAAAACGACACCAAGCCAGTGCCAACACGGGTTCAGGAGCTGGCCAGACCGGCTGTCATTCGGACTAGCCGCGTGCTTTTTGTCTCTGCTTTCTAAGCTGACGGGCAGAGACACGGAGAGTTTCCAACTGCGGGTTCCCTCCTCAAATGCCCACAGCAGCCGAGACTGGGCCGGGCTGAAGCCAGGAGCCAGGAGCTGCATCCAGGTCTCCCATGTGGGTGGCAGGGACCTGATCACTTGAGCCATCCCCACTGCCTCCCAGGGTCTACACCGGCAGGAGGCTGGAGTCAGGAGCGGGGGCCAGGACGAGCCCTGGGCCTTGGATGTGCGGTGTGGGCACCCCAACCTCTGCGGCGAAGGCTTGCCTTTGGCGGTGCGGCTTTGAATAAGGAAGCCAACCTCACTGAGCCGGTCTCTTTAATACAGACGACAACTCCCTCATAGGGCCACGCGTGTTGAATGATCCGACACCCGGTAGGCACTGGAAGGGGAGCATCCCTCCGCTCTCTTCCGCCCGCCTCGGATTCCACCTTCCCGAAGAAACCTGCAAGTACCGGTTTCTACAGGTTGCACACCATGGCCACCATTCCGCTTCCTTGTCTATGCTGCGGGGACCCTACCTCCTGCCTTGTGGCTCGCTTCCCCGGATTCTGCAGCAATGGACACATTCTGGGCACCATACAGGGCTCCCACTGCATGAGACCCAGCCCTGACGGGCTCCAAGGGCAGAGACGTGGGGACCGAGGGAGCACACGTGCGTGGGGGATGCTGCTGTGGCGTCACAGACGGAAAACCCGGCAGCTGGACTGTTTGTCTTTCAGACTCGGCTGATGTCCCACTGGGGAAAGGACCCAGGGGAATCCGCCTTGCTCCTTCCCTGCACCCGTAACAGGCCCTGGTCCCTTTGAAGGGACTGGGGTAGCTCAACACAAAAGGAGAGGCAGTGACAGCAGACGGTATCCATGTGTTTCTTTTTTTTTTCTTTTTTTTTTAAATGTATTTTTAAAATTTATTTGACAGGTAGAGTTATAGACAGTGAGAAAGAGAGAGACAGAGAGAAAGGTCTTCCTTTTTCTGTTGGTTCACCCCCCCCCCAAAATGGCCGCTACGGCCAGCGCACTGCCGATCCGAAGCCAGGAGCCAGGTGCTTCTCCTGGTCTCCCATGCAGGTGCAGGGCCCAAGCACTTGCGCCATCCTCCACTGCATTCCCAGGCCACAGCAGAGAGCTGGCCTGGAAGGGGGCAACCGGGACAGAATCTGGTGCCCTGATGGGGACTAGAACCCGGGGTGCCAGCGCCGCAGGTAGAGGATTAGCCTAGTGAGCCGCGGCACCGGCCCCGTGTGTTTTATACATGTGGAACACAGGACTTCAAATTGCTCCTTTTTGGTTAAGATGCAGCTTGGGACACTCCCATCCCGTATTACAGCAGCGGGGTTCAGGTCCGGCTCTGCTCCCCAGCCAGCCCACTGCTACGGAGCTCCCTGGGAGGTAGTACTTGGGTCCCTGCCACCCACGTGGGAGACCTGGATAGAGTTCCAGGCTCCTGGCTATGGCTGGCCTGGCCCTGGCTATTGGCCGGGGGGTGCGGAGGGCACTGGAGAGTGAACCTGCAGACGGAAGATCTCTCTCTCTCTCTCTCTCTCTCTCTCGATGTCACACCTTTCCCTTGAGGCTGCCATCACAAGTTAGGAAACACTGCCAGACGTGCCCGACACGCCCAGTGCTGCCTGCTGCTGTTATCCCCCCAAAGTGAAGAAGGGGAGGGGGCCTGGCCCCGTGGATAAGGCGCCGGCATCTCATGGGGGCATGCCTCAGGTCCCGTCCCAGCTCCACTTGGATCCAGCTTCCTGCTAATGGGGACCCTCGGGGGGGCACACACCATGGCCCAAGACCTGGGGTCCCTGCCACCCATGTGGATGACCCGGATGGAGTTCCTGGCTGTGGGTTTCAGCCTGGCCCAGCCCTGCCTGCTGCAGCCACTTGGGGAGTGAACCAGCAAGTGGAAGGTCTCTTTCTCTCTCTCTTTCTCTCTTTCTCTCTCCTTCTTGCTCTCTCTGTCTTTCAAGTAAGATGAAAATGAATAAGCGAAAATTTAAAAACTGGAAAGGAAGAAGAGAATGCAAGACAGCATTATGTCTTGTCTGGAGTAAAATATTGAATACTGACGGTGGCTCCAGGGGACTAGAAGGGAAGTAAGGTTTCAGTGTTCACTCCATTCCTTTTTTTCCTCTCTCATTTCCCGGAAGAATAAGAAGCAGAATGAACACCAATGTTGAAAGCAAACTGGCAACTGTTGCAAAGGCCAGTGTAGCAATTCTGCCTTTGGCCAAGGCCACACAATGACTCTGCAGCAAAACAAACGGTGCCATCTAGACCAGGAACACAGGACGAGCAGTCCACTGCTCTCAGAGCTGAACTGTGCTCACTCAGGGCATGGCCAAGGCCAACATGGCCGGGGCCCAAGTCCCCTGTCCTGTCCACTCTCTAGTGCAGCTCAAAACCAGTCCATGTGGCTTCCCCAGGTTAAGGTTGGCACCCAATCCTCCCCATGCTGGACACACCCCCAGGGATGATTCCTATTGTAATTCCGGGGTGGGCGGGGTGAAGGAATCCTAACTTCACAGAGGACTGACTGGGGGCTGCAGCGCAAGATGTGGGCACACACACCCCCGGGGACTGCAGCCCAGGACCTGTGCACACACACACCGGGGATTGCAGCCCAAGATGCGGGCACACACACCCAGGGGATGGAGCCCAGGACACAGGCACACACACACACACACCTGAGGACTGCAGCCCAGGACCTGGGGTGCACACACAGCTGGATGTTAGGGTATGCAGTTGCAGAGACTCCCCTTTGTTGGAACTGGGGCACTGAAGAGCCAGGGGCAGGAGCACATGCCCTGCCCTCCCCCAGAGGGACCACCGTCAGTCACCCCCTCTCTGCTCTGCTCTCAGCCAAGCCCGCACTGCAGGGGCGACAGCCTCTCTGGGCCCAGAACTTTCCAGTGGCTTCCTTCTGCACGTGGCTCAATATCCTAATTCCCTCCACTCCCATGGCTCCTCTCACCCCTTCCCAGCCCTTCCCTGGTCCTGTTCATCCCTCTGACCACTGTTTGCATCACTGCTCTTGTGTGGGGTGGCACCAAGCAGGTGACCCTGGGGACAGGTTAGCTGTGTGTGGCATGAGCCGGGGTTCATGCACGGTGGCTGCAGACCTGGTGGAGCGTGGGAGGTCACTCACTCACCTGCACCATCCGTGTGGCTCCTGCTGGCTGCCGGTCTCATCATTTTCTCACTGAATAAAAGAAAAAGCCAATCAGCGGTGGAGTTCCCCAGTGCCCCGCCCCTACCTTTCCAAAGCAACCCGCAGCGATGCGATTAAGCCATGAGGGTCTCTCAGCATCAGCACCACACTGGGCCGGGATGGAGATGGCTGCCCTGGCGTGCATCTGACACTCCCGCTCACGCGTGGCTGTGGCATGAGGGTGGGCGTGGACACACATGGCGGGCACCGTGAGTGGCCTGGGAAGCGACATGCATGGAGAAGCACGCTCACCCTTCTTGGCTCAAAGCGTCAACTTCGAGCAAGAAAGATCAGAAGGAAAACAAACACCAACCCCCCCTCCACCGCCATGATTCACAGAAATGCAAATATTTCCAGCCTTGAAATGATTACAAGGAAACGGATTTAATGAATGAATGATCTTAATGATTAAAGAGAAAGATGGAATTTTCTCGTCATTGGCTCGCTGGCTTCTCTTTACCTAGTGGCATCTTTGTAATTACTTGTAATGGACCCTTTAAAAAGTGCAGACTGCACAAGGCCAGTTAGGCTGGCGATCTGCTTCTCCATAGCCTGCATCCTCTCTCTGGAAAACAAGAGAAGTGTGTGTTAAAGCTCTGGGCATGCTCAGGCTGGTTTTCAGAGGGCGCTGATCCACCTGAGGTTTCGCAAAAAGGCACCGTGGTTCATCCCGACCTGGGCCCGGGGAACCGGCAGCGCCTGGGAACCCAGTCCTGCTGCGACCAAGCGGCGACAATCAGAGGCAGGCACGAAGCCTCTTGGAAACCTGAACAAGCACGTCCCTTGGCCGCCCGCACGTCCTGCGTTTCTGAGCCTGGCTGCACCTGTCCAGCCAGGTGGTGCCTCCCCTCCCCCCCATACTTCCAAGCCGCACCCTCAGCTGGGAGGCTGACGACCGGCTGGGGTTGTAAATGAGGGAGACGGAGCAACAGTTCCGGAGCCCAGGGCAACCCAGGCAAATGACGGGGCGCAAACACGACTGGAATCAGTGTGTGCTGATGCTCAATCGAACATCACAAGAAACTCAGCCCGGAGGCTTTCACAGGACCCAGCAGGAAAATAAGCGGCCGTGGGAAGACATACATGAAAAGCTCTCAATTACTGACTGCACAGACACCACACTTGTCTGTCTGTCTGTCCTTCCCTCCCTCTACCTCACAAATGCCTCCCGCATCCCAACTCTTCTGGAATTTAAAATCCACTGGCTTGCTTGGGTCCCTGACAATGGACGTGTCCAACTATTACCTCTCTTCCCAGCACATTATAGAACCGACACACAACAAGTGACCAGGCTGAGCCGGGCACAGCATGTTCAAAGACAGTGGCTTGTTTTTTTTGTTTTTTTTTTTTTTTTAACAGGCAGAGTGGACAGTGAGAGAGACAGAGAAAAGTCTTCCTTTGCCGTTGGTTCACCCTCCAATGGCCGCTGCGGCCGGCACGCTGCGGCCTACGCACCGCACTGATCTGTTGGCAGGAGCCAGGTGCTTTTCCTGGTCTCCCATGGGGTGCAGGGCCCAAGCACTTGCGCCATCCTCCACTGCACTCCCGGGCCACAGCAGAGAGCTGGCCTGGAAGAGGGGCAACCGGGACAGAATCCGGCACCCCGACCGGGACTAGAACCCGGTGTGCCGGCACCGCAAGGCGGAGGATTAGCCTAGTGAGCCGCGGCGCCGGCCAGACAGTGGCTCTTAATGGAATACAAGACTGCACCCGACAGTGGAAAACGGAGTTAAAGCAGAAGTTTACCCTGGTGCAAAGCATCTGAAATCCATGCACACAAGGAGTCTTCAAATTGCCCATGGAAAATGCAAAGTATGCAAGGACTGTGCATGCATTTCACCTTTTTGTTTGTTTGTTTGCACCAAAACACACTTCCCTTTTAATTCCATAATTTCTTGAAGGACCCTCTGAGGGGCCAATTGCTTATCTGGTTTTCGGTGGAAAAAACAAGGTGGCCATTCTTCCAGTAGGAAAAGCACTGGTGCAAGGGGCGGGGCAGGGAGAGGTGGTCTGTCAGGAGTGTGTTTCCAGGGGAGCTTTTTCCAGGCACAGCTTTGCAGCCTTGAGTTTTGTCTCGGGGTCTTAGCACTGCGGGAAACACAGAGCTTAACTTTGCAATCCTGAGCTTCTGACGCCAGAATGCCACACGCTCTCTTTAGCTGAACATTGCGGGCTCTGTCCCAGTACAGCTTCTTGGATGTCCATGATGCACTCCGGGTAGGTAATGGTTGTAAACTCCACCAAAGGAGAACAATCCTCAGCCTGCAATACAAGCACTCATAGAACGAGCTCTCCGTTCTAAGAGAGCAGAAGCAGCCATCTCCAGGGCGAGTGTTTCCAGAAGTATCTGTGGATGCCACACCTCCGGGCCGTCCAGCACTGTCACTCACGCCTGGGATCCCAGCCTCCGCTCTGCCATGAAATGGTCCACGTGCCACAGAGAAAAACCAGAGAGAAATTCCAACCGGGACGGCAGGTTAGTAAGTGCCTACCGGGAATCCCAAGTTCATGGCCCACGGTGACAGCAGACTCTCAGACGTGCCGGGCGTGGGGGCCGATCACGCTGCCTGCCCCTTGGCAGACAGGGACTCCCAGGAGCTCTTGGGAAATGACGCGTGCCCCTGGGAAAGCTGTCCTGGTCGCCCACTCACCCCGCAGCAGGGCAGCCTGACCGCACGGCACCGGAGTCCAGCTCAGGACCTGGGCGTGCAGCTGCCCTCACAGCTGTCTCAGATGCCCTTGCTCCCCGCTCCCTCCAGTCCTTGGCAGTCGCCCAGGAAGTGCCTTTCTGTCAAGTGGCAATAGCGTCTCTAGGAAGTGACTTCAGGGCTCCGTGCAGCTCCCGTTAGGACAGGGAGGGGTGGCGACCCCCTAAGTACACGCAGAAGATGGTAGGAAACACACAGCTGGGTACGTCTATGGCACTGGCGGATATTCTGGGGTCTGCGAAGGGGCAGGTGGCAGAAGGAGCCACGGGGTTCCAGCCCTGGCCAGGGGCACAAGCTGACTAGGGCTAGACCACGTTCTATCTGGTTTTCAAGGTGTTACATATCCTTTTTAGAAAAAGTATTTACTCATGAGAGAGAAAGAGAGAGCGAGCGAGAGAGCAAGAGAGAGAGAGAGAGAAAGTGATCTTCTATCTACTGGTTCCTCAAGTAGCATGCAATGGCTGGGGCTGGGCTGGGCCCACAGCCAAAGCCAGGAGCCAGGAGCTCCACCCAGGTCTTCCATGTGGATGGCAGGGGGCCAGGTACCTGAGCCCTCACTGCTGCCCACGGTCAGGACTTGGAGCTGAGCACTGGGCACTGAGCCCGGGCACTGTGACCCGGGCTACAGGCTCCCTAACGAACATCTTCACTCCAGGGCCGGCGGCCTGCTTCCCTGTGTCCTTTCTCATCCTCTTCCGCTCTCATCGCTTCATCTGACGAAGGATGCCATACTGGAGTGCAGGTTCCATCCCGGCTGCTCCACTTCTGATCCACCTCCCTGCTAAGGCACCTGGGAAGGCAGTGGAAGATGGCCCGAGGGCTTGGGCCCCTGCACCCACACGGGAGACCTGGATGGAGCTCTTGGCTCCTGGTTTTGGCCTGGCTCAGCGCTGGCGGCTGTCACCATTTGAGAAGTGAACCAGCAGGTGGAAGATCAACCCCTCCCTCCCCCTCTCAGAATACGTAAGTAAATACCAAAGCAAAGTCACTGAGTCATTCCAGTAAAGGACATTGACCTTTAACAGATCCCGCAGCATGGCTGGAGCTGTCCCAGTCACGGCAAAGGCGGGGCCCGCTCCACGGGGCTGTGTGTTCCCGCCCTTGGCTCAGCAGGTGCCTGGCTTTTCCTCTGGGCTTCCCCAGCTTTGGGACACAGAGAGAGACAACAGCCAACTGCTATCCCACTCTCCCAACTCCTCAGGGTGGAAACCAACACAGTGAGTTGTGTGAGTATCCCGGAGGGTAGTCTGGGTGCTGGGAGCAAAAGCCCTGTGTCCAGATGCTTGGTTCTCCTGGTTGGATCTGGGAGGATGTGCACACTTCCCCCAGGTGGCCCCTTCCAAGCGAGGAGACAAGACGTATCAGAGATACTGAGTCGCACCTGCTCCCCCAACAGCCTCCTCTGAGGGTTCATCCCTTGACCCGCACCAGAGAAGGGCGGCAATTCTCTCCTCTGCCCCAGGAAACAGGGGAGCCTGTGGGAGGCGGAGGCAGCAGACTGAGCCCATGCAAGCCCCGTGTCCCAGGCAAACCCACCTTACAGCGAGTATAATCCTTCCGACAGAGTAATGAGGAAACTTATCCCTCCCACTGACTCACGGGAGCGCTGGTTTCCAGGATTCATTTGAGAGAGATTATCTGATTTATAAATGCATATATAAGATTGTCTTTCTATTTCATGGCTGGTAACCTGGAAACAATTTTACGGCTTAACTAAATTACAGCAACTGGAAATGCAGACAGCCTCGCCTCGGGATGAGATGTTACGGAGGAGATGTGAGGGCGCAAAGGGGAGAGGGACACAGAGAGGCAGGAGAGGTGACACACGACCCTGTCATTTACTGCCACAGCCATCTGCATGGGGGCCGTGAGAATATTAAAGAGGCGGAGGCTAATTCCTGCCGATCATGCCCAGTTTAAGGGATTACAGGGCTGGAACCATCACTGTTGAAAAGATGATTTCAGAATCATTTTATAAACCCTTTTATAGCCTTCCATAAACCACACTTTCGTGATGAGCATGTGTGGTTAGGGCATCACTGAGCCACCAGTCAGCAGGGCTGAAGGAGTGAATCCCCCAGGGCCCAAACAGAATACGAAGAAGGAATTCCAGGGCTGGGGGGAGTGCGGTGCTGTGGCATAGCTGGTAAAGCCCCCACCTGCAGTGCTGGCATCCCATATGGGCGCCAGTTCGAGTCCTGACTGCTCCACTTCTGATCCAGCTCTCTGCTATGGCCTGGGAAAGCAGTAGAAGGTGGCCTAAGTCCTTGGGCCCTTGTCACT